GAGGGGATTTTGCTGCTGCTTCCCAGGGAGTCAGTCTCTTGACAGGCTTGTCAGCTGCTGTGTCTGGCTTGCTGAAGTAGTCAGGGGCAGGCTGAAATATAAGAGGAGAAGTGGGAGATGTGGCTCGAGAAATGAATGAAGGTTTCCCAGGAAGTGACAATGAACGTCCACTGCTTCTTTCCTAGGAAACAAAACACCAAATATGGATTGAAGTCATTAAACAAGAAGAGCAGAAGCTTCTTTTCCTCAGTGGAACAATAAACTCTGTAAGCATGTGACATCCTAGCAATCCTGTTTTATATCTACTTTTTAGTATTTTAATTTAATGAAAAGAGATGAGGTATGAAAAAGGAGGTAAAGAATCAAGAAAGAAAGAGCAAACTTCATTTCTTAGAAAAGTAAATGAACCAAAGACAAGCTTTTGTTACTGAAAAGGTACAGTTCTGTTAGCAGCGGTTCAGCTTTACTTCCATCTCCTCTACTTAGCTAGTATGTCTTGTTCTGAAAAAAACCTCATTCTGATAATAAGGGAAGTCGTGTTGCAACAGTTCTTTGTGTGTTTTCATGCAGGCGCAGACTAATTTACTTACAGGTTCTGTGTAGGACATCTGTCCAAGAGCATATCTTTGGCAATCTCCTTTAAAGAAAGACATTTCTTACTCTGAAATTATTAAACTTTGGATGAGGTGGGTCAAAGATGAACACACAAAATTAAAAATGTTAATGTAGTCATTTCCTTAATACCTTTACAGGACACTAACCTGGCTTCTTTAGAAAGCAGTGCCCTCAAAATTTCAGAACATTCTGACCCATTTATGGGAGCAATCCATTCATATCTGATCAAATCCTAATCTTCTTAGTAATGCAGCACTTTGAAACAGAAACTCTGTTTGTGAGAAGGTCCTGCCCACAGCAGTCTTCATCTGGCATACAAAACAGCCTTTTCCCCAAACCAGATACGTTCTTTGTATTGGACAAATCACATTGTTCGTACCAAGAGTGGTCACTCAAGTAATTGATTTACACCCACTGATTCATATCCTGAGGTTTAAATGTCTCTAGCTCTGAAATCTGGTGTGAAATTCCAAAGGCTGTGCTAAAATTTCATTTTAACAATGTTGATGTATGTTAATTTTCCTAATTTGCTTCCAAAACTTTTAATTTTGAGAATATGATCCAGATGCCAGTCAGTGAGTGCCTGAGCATATGAGGAAAAGTTTATCCAGCAATAGTTCACATAGCAACTTAGTGTCTTACAGACTTTTCCAGCATAGGATCTTAATTTAATTAATTAAAAAATTAAATGACCTCTACTCCACATGTGCTTTTATGTTGTGTTTTAATGTAAGCTTGTAAATGAGAGATAGAAAGTGAGAAAAAGACTACCGATTGCATTATTTTCAGTTTGGTGGTGCACAGTTGAATCTGTTAAAAGCGTATAGTGACACAAAGAGATCATGTAGTGATCTAGTGTTTGTGTAGCTTTGACAAGATTCACAACTTATGCTTTACAATAGGACTATCTTTTCACCACTTAGCCACAACCAGCTGTTCCCATTTTGCAGTTCCAGAGAGGAAATTCCTAATATTACTTATCCTACCACCACATCCTTCTGGTACATTTTCTTTAAGTTCTACATTTAACTGCAAGAAGTACTTAGGTTTGGGCAAACTAACAGTTAATTTTTAAATCTTCTCTTTAATGCTTGATCACATCATGGTTTAAGATGTGGTCCTATCAGCAGACTGCAAACTGGTAGCATGTAAAAAGCAAAAATGTTTGGAAGGTGAATGAAAGAATATGCAGAACATATTTTTTTTTTCCACGCAGATGAAGTGATATGCCATCAAGCATGAGTTAACCTTTTCCAGATTTTCGCCTAAGGAGAGGGATTCATACTTCCATAGAAAATAAGAATCCAGGTCCCAAATAGGCCTGTCTGAATACTTTTCTTTCCTCTAATGTATTGCAATTTGTTTCTTCACTGAATCTACAAAAGTAGCTTCTTCAGCATGTCTGATTAGTGCATTTTATTTAAGTTATCAGTAACAATTTTTTTTAAGGTATGAAATCGAAGTAAGCATGTAAAGTGAGGTACAGTTTCTATTACAAAGTAATGTAATAACCAGAGCCACAAAACTAAGAAGCTAGGATTGTACTGAGGGATAAAATAAGTTGATCAAACAGGTTCTGCTAGTTAGCCTACCTGTCATAATTGCTTTCTGAGTGGTTCTAGACTGTGGTCTGTGCTGAATAGGAAAGCCTATTAATGGAGATTCCAAGCCCTGCTAGTAGTTACTTCATGGGATTCCAGAGATGCAGAGGGAAATGATAATGTAGACAGAACTGTTATCACTGAATGTTGCTGACATTTCAAGGCAGGTCAGATGAAATGCTCTGTGTAGTCTGTTATGTTTAGAGAAAACTTCTGGTTTTCACCAAGTGGCAGAGCTATCTTTTAGGCATAACTATCAGTAATAAAGCAGGAGCTAATTTTTCTTGACAGTTTGATTAGAGAATTGTGAGTTAGGAAAAGTATTTCTGTATTTTGTCAGATAAGCCATTCTACTATTTTACAATGGCAGAAGCTTGTAAAAGCAGCAATACAGTAGCCAAAATTAAATGTGGTGAGTTCTGGAGTTCATTAGCACAAGTTACCACTTGTACTTGTATGTATGCCTATATAGAAGTTACCACTATATCAGACTTGACAGATAATCTAAATCAGTAATGAAAAATAAAATAATATTTTGCGATGCTGGGAAGTGTTCTAGGAATTCCTTGTTATTATAAAAGGCAAAGGAAGGGAACTGAGACAGCAGATCAAGATGAATTCCTAGAAAAATTCTCAGCGTGAATCAATCAATACAGTATAAAGGGACTAGCACAGTTTGGACAAACTTGAAAAAGAATGCTTTACTGCCTTGAGGATCTTAATTTGGAAGGCTTCAATGAACAAATGTTTGTACTTCAAGTCATATCTGTCCACAGCACCTGCATTCAGACATGTTGATAATCTGGAGAATATTGTATTTGCTTTGCAAGGAAAAAATCAAATAGCGTGAGAAACTTGCATGTGAAAGATTTTATTCTTATAGGAATTATCTTTTCTCATTTTAGTTGAGTTTTTTTTCTTTCTTTTTTTTTTTTTTTTGGTAGTGTGGGTCTATATTTGACAAGAATGTTAGGTCTTGATGGAAGATAAGCAGTCAGTAAAGCTGGAGTGTGAGTAGCACCTTGGGAATGAGGTTAGTTATACTAAAATTACTTGAACTCATTTTCTTATTTCATTTTTAACTTTAGTAATGCTCTCAGGGATAAAATGACTACGTAAGAATCCAAGTAGTTCACACCATCTCACAGATGAACATTTCCTTAGCTACCAAAGAAATGTACCCAGTGATGATCACTCTAGTAGATGAAAATGTCTGTGATAAATTTTTCCAACAAAATTTGGTTTAGGTTCCCAGGTGACTTGGAGTAACAGTTTACCTGGGCAATAAGAGATCATTCCAATTAATTTAGAATAAATTATTTCTTTAAAAATTGATAAGTATGCTTTTTTCCTACTCTAGAACCCCAAGAATAGCTATTTCAGGTCTTGTCTATTTTGCCAAACTATTATTTTTTACACTGATTTCAGTTTGCTGGAGTAGTTTATGCATTTTTTCATTGGACTCTTGGATCTCACATAATCATGTTAAGTTCTAGACATCATTTTATAGCTATTAATATTAATAGCTATTGTCAGAGATTTAACTAAGATGGAAAAACAGACCAGGTGACAAAAGACTGATTTCTCTTGCCCCTGTGGGCAGCTTTGTTAGGTGCAAAGTATTTCTTGGAAACTAGATACAATGAATGCAGTGAATGCACTCAGTGAGATCTTTATCACAGAGGGTAATCAACCATTACTGCATTCTGGATGGATGTTCAACCTGTATCCAAATGACAGCAACAAAGTTCCCTCTGCAAGATGAAAATGATGAACTATAGTATTTGCTTTGGTATTCCAATTTTATTTTAAAATTTAATTTAGGAAAATTAAATAGGAAAATCACTTTGGGCCTGAAGCAATTTGTCAAGTTTTGTGAAGTGACTGCACCATGAAGCAGAACCTTTTGAATTCAGGATTCATTTGTAATTCTCGTGGCTCTTTCACAGAAAATTATTCAATTTCTTTCATCACCCATGGAAGAAATAAAGCATTGCATCGGTTATGTGCACTGTGCCATAATGCCTCAGTGTTTACCCTAAGGAGGAGGAATTCAGTCTCTAAGATAACTCGCTGATAAGATTGCTATGGTTGTATCTATTGCAATGCAAGTAACTCAGAAGCGTGCTGCACAGCAGATTTTTGTGCACTTGATTAAATAATCAATAAACATCACATAGTGACATACTATTGGAATAATCTAAGTAGTCTAATATTTGTCTATACCTACCCCAGCTTTATTCTGAAATTTTTATAATCTTTGGCATATTTCCATACTTAAAATACTTCTGGAAAAATAAGATTTTCCTTCAAAACAAATGTCTCAAATATAAGAACTGAGATACGATTAACATTGCCTTTAATTCTTATTATTGGTTGTGAAGTTCCTAGACTGAAAATCTAGGTGTGAAAATCTGTAAACTCATAGCAGACCACATTTGATATTCATAAACTGATTTCTAACATACTGTGAAACCAAGGCAACATTTAATCACCAGAATTCATCATTCCTTCACTAGACAGCAGTGGCCAGGCATGGTGATACTTTAATCCCTTTCTATTAAATATGTTAAAATAGATCTTTTGACATGCATACACTAAAAAGAATGCATAAACCTTTGGTCATAAATGAGACAGGCAAAACAGACAGAGGGAAGTGCAAATGGAGGAAGATTATTCTATCCCATCACTGTAAAATATAAGAAGATGATAAAAAGAGGGGTAAGGATCTTCTATTCTTCTTCTCACAGTGAAAAGGGAAGGAAAAGTGATGTGATAGCAGAATTATTAAATTATCACACACTGTATTACTGTACTCTTTTTGTAAAACATTAAAAATAATACTGTACCAGAACACAAGGTGTTGTTAGGCTACAAAACAAAAGGGAACGCCATCCAGTGATTAACTTGCGTTCTTCTATTCCTCCTTCTGAGAAAAGGCAAGGCTTTTTCTACTGTAGCTATTAAAGGGAAAATGATTCCTGGATGTCAGTAAAAGGAAAGGCAGTTCAGAACTGTCCATTGTAGCCATAGAACACTAGCAAGAGCTGCTGACCAGGTGTCTGTGCAAAAAGATTCAAGCTAATGCTGGTTAAAAAATGCAAGATGTTTATAAACTGGTGAGTGAAGGATGCATTTATTGTAAGCATTGTTAGTACTTAAGAGTTGTGTATTAATAAGTAAAACTAAAATAAATGTAATATGATTGACTTAGGTTTCTAAATCATTAAGGCATTTTTATTTTTTCTTTTCATTTTAATCATGAGGCTTAAGCAAGTTCAAATCAGAGTTAACGTTAGCATCTGGTTAATGTTTACACTGAATGGGAACAAAGGAAAAGGAAGTGGTTAAAACAATTGGCTGCTGTGGAATGACTCTGTCTTTATAAAAGTTGAGGGTTACGTTTGTCACTTTGTTTTTTATTGATTTGTAATGGCTACTACAGTTAGAGAACATTGAGAAGATGGTAGGACAAAATAAATAATACCTGATTTAGACATATATATATAGTTTCAATTCTTTCATTCTTTCCAATTTTTTGAAGAACAAGCATTTCAGATTTTTAATTTGACCAATATATAGAAAGAAGACGTTACTAAGCTTATTTTTGCTTTTTTTTTGTCTGAAAGCATTTAAGATTTAAACTTTATATAGTGAAAAAAAACAACTTCTCTGAAATGCTGCCAACTTTGCTGTAAATGCCATGCCTACTTTACAATATAACTACAGTTTTTATTTTTTTTAAAGGGAATAAAATTAAAAATGCTGGAAATAATTTGTAGCAGGCAAAATGAAACTAATAAAATTGGCATGCAACATTTTGGTCCTTGGGTGTTGGAATGGACAGTTTATTTCCCTTAAGAAAGAACATTTGCTGCCATCTTCTGGACTTAAATATTATACAATTCCCAAGGCCTTAGAGCACGAAGCCTTGCTTCCTTTTGAATAGAAGTTTGAAAACAAGTGCAAAGTTGGTCTCAGTTTCTGACATTTCTATTTTGTATGGACGACAAAAGCGTTTAATATTAAGGGAAGGTTACTGATATTTTTCTAAAATGAAATCAAGAAAATACTGAACTAATTGTACTTCTTGGAGATGGTGGCATTGTTTCTTCTGAACATTTCCAAGTGAAAAGATAATTTATCCTGGTCCATATAATTTCCTTATGAAATCTTTCAAACCAAAATCCTCTTTTTTGTGGTTATTTTTCTTATTTATTTCATCTCAAATGATTCAGCCCCCTGAATTACATTTTAACCGAGTGAACCCGTGTGGCTCAATCACTTCAAAGAGTGAAAATAGGAAAAGAAGAAAGAAAAGAAAAAAAAGGCATACAGATGCAAAAAAATTCTAGACTCCTTTTCCTTTATAAGTAGTACTGCTTTATGCTTTAGAACTGCTTTGAGACTGATCTTTGAATCTGAAGCGTCTCATACATCTATTCTAATGCTTGCCTATGTCCAGACCAAGCAGTCCAGTAATTTTAGGTAACACAGGTTCATCAGGAATGTGAGGCTCAATAGGAATGCCTTATCTGTTTCCCAGTTCCTGCAGTGTCCTGCTCTACCTGGGAGACCTGCAGGCTATGTGTATTTCCACAGACTGGAGAAGCCACTGAGGTGTATCATAGCTCTGGCATTTGTTGTGCAGCTGTGTTTTCGTTCACAAAAAGTTCTGTGTGTAGACACATGATGCATATCTGTCTTCACAACACTGGGTCTGAATACTGGGCTCTGCACAATCACTGTTAAGGACTGAGGTGTGCTTCACATCACACCTGCCTCTTGACATAACTCAAGACCTCCTGTTGGGCCAAAGCATCTTTGAAAGGGAAAACATCTGAATGGAATATATTGGGCAAGAATAATTTCAGCAGAGTGGAAGAAACCAGCAAGTGAAGGACTGAGGAAAGTCTGGCCAAAATAAAATTACACAATAGTAATACTTGATACAGAAGGAAAACTGTATTCGGGACTGGCTTGGAGAGTGATGAGGTTAGGTAAACTATGTGCAGGGTTGCCAACCACCAGAGGCTGCCCATGTCCCCACTTGTTGACACCTGGCTGTCAAACTGGCCAAGTTTCATAGGCTTTGATGAGAAACTTAAGGAATAGAAAATTGACCTGTTTAGTTTGCAATTAGGCTATGAGGAGGAGGCCAGGCCAAGAAAAAAATAGAATGAAATGGGGCCATGAAGATATACCTGGGGAAAAGAGCCTATGTTTACTGCTGTGTACTTTCCTTCAGAACTCCAGAAAAATTTCTTCCCCAGAGGGATGGAGTGTGCCCTTCCTTGATCTCACTGATGTCAGAAAAAACTTAAGAGCCCCACTGGAAAGTGTGCCATCCTCCTGGTGCGGATTCACAGCCAGGTGTCAACAAGTGGGGGCATGGGCAGCCTCTGGTGGCTGGCGACCCTGCACATAGCAGGGGGTTGAAACTAGATGATCGCTGTGGTCCTTTTCAACCCAGGCCATTCTAGGATTTAAGTAGCATGATGGCAATTGGTGGTCCAAGCCATGCTGGAGGACCCTGCTGGTAACAGTGACCTGTATGATAGTATTTTGAGGCTTGGTTTGTTCTAAAAAAACCCTTTGGATCTTAAACACACAAAGTTACTTTGAAGCAATGGAATGAAATATGGAAGATAAGTATTCAAAAATTATGAAATGTAAACATAATTGCCCAGTGCATACAAATTTTTATTAAATTTTAGCACCGCTGCCCCATCCAGTGCAGTTTTAGCATTTCTTTTAGCAAATTGTATGGTAATGTAACAAAGTAACATTACACTATTGTGGGAAAGGCATTTTCACTGTCTGGTCATTGAGGATTCCCTTTTCTGGAATTCTACCTGGAGAAGTGTAATCTGTGAACATTCACAGACTGTTAAGGAGAACTATGCTTTTGCACAGTGACTGGTTCACATCCTATTGGCCTTGATGCTAAGTGTCTTGAACTGGGAAGCTAATGCTATCCTAATACCAATGCCTCCATCTTCATTTACTCATTCGTGCAGTAGTGGAAAAACAAATTACAGCTTCTGAATCAACTAAATGCTAACCAAAAAAGCTTTGTGGAAATAAGTCATTCAGCATGAAAAGCATACTTTGAAGAGCTTGTGCTATATAAGGGATGGTGCTATGCACAGAACAAGGTCAATACAAATTAGTGAAGGGCTGTTCATTAGGTGAGCGGTACCATTGTCTGCCCTAAATTGAGTCGGAAATTCTATGAGAAAAAACAATGGCAGGCAATGTGTTACTTTTGCAGCAATGTATCTTTCAATTGTCTGGAATTACCTTTTCAAGATATCAGTCTCAAACCATAAGAAAGAATCAAGGATTCTTCAAACAAGTTTGAAAACTCTTTGTCCTGATATACTGAATAACCTGCTCACAAAGCCCTAATCTACTTAGTCCGTCTGTACGCATGGGTTCAGTAAGCTATTTTTCTCAGAGCTGTTTCCTCAGCTTATGGGAGCATACAGTTACTGTTATACAGTACCACCACATAACTTTGTGATGGTTTCACATGCATTGAAATTAAAAACTGTTTGTCAAGATCATTACAAGCAAGAATAGATTTTTTTCCTCTGGAAACTACAGAGTAACAGGAGAATTGATTAGCATCTTCTATAAAAGTCTTTGCCTGCCTTACTCAAGGATGCTGACAGTTAAACCACAGAAACATCATTCTGTGGTTAGCCCTAGCTTGTAAAACAAGAGCTCAAATCTGTTTCTGTAGCGAACCTTCCAACACAGTATTTCCTTCAGCTTCAGGATTACTTTTTAATCATCTGATAAAAATCCTGAAGTTCTTTCTGGAGTAAGGCTCCAGCCTAAAAAGCACTTGTCAAGCATAGCTCTTGAATGATTCCAGCTCCTCCCAACAGTAACAACACGCAGAAGTAATGTTTATGATCAAGTACAGTTCTTGTCACGGGTACTATGAACTTGTGAAGGTGGCACCAAGTAAATACCAGGCTCACATATTTTCCCAAGAAACATTTCTACCAGCAGTAAGTTCAAAGATTCTGAATCCACAGGTTTTTTTAATATCTTGTCATTGAATTTCTTCTTTGTATAACATTTCTCGTTCAAACTGAGCAGATTCATTTTAAAATAGCATTTTGCCAAGCTGTGTAATTAAGGTTTGCACTTGCCATGCTGAACTCACAAAACGATCAGTGGAATCCTGGGCATTTAACTTCAGACAAAGTTGTATCATTGTATTTTGAGAAAGGTAATACTGGAAAAGTGGATCTTTTTATAACCAATCACTTTGCATTCTGCAAGCTAGGAAATCTGGATGAGGATCCTGGAAAAAGAGAGGAGAAAGATTTTGCAAATTGTTAGATGCAAAGATTGCTGCTGTTTCACTGGTATTTCCCTACCTCATGGTGTGCAATTCCCTGTGGAGAGGCTGGAGCAGCAGGACATTGTAAAGCTGGTCGTTTGCTGGTGTGTTGTCTTGGATACTTGGTAAATATTGCTCCTCCCAAATCATCTTGTACCGATTTCTGTTTATGGCTGCTTTTCAGGGCTGAAGGGCACTTTACTATCTTTTATCAAAGTTTACTTTAACATTTTTGAAGACTGTTGTGTATAGGAGCTATGTAGGATAATACGTTTATATGTATGTTGCCTCTCAGTGCAATACTCTATTGATAGGGTCTGTTTTTATAAAAAGCTCACTTTTCTCTTTTTTGCTGGGTTTGCTGCATTTCCATTCTTTCACAATTTGTAAATAGAGGAAAAAAAAACATGCCCAGTGATATGAGGGAATCACTGAATCCAAGTGATCCAAGAAGAATCACTTCTTGGATCCAAGAAGAACCTAGAAAATTTCAACAAAAGGCTGGAAATAGTCAGCCATCTCAGAGCAGACTTAAGCCCGTCTTACTTATTTTCTTCTCTTATACCTTCAGTATGTCTTGAACCTCTGACAGAACTGAACCTCTGTTTTTGTTCTGGAGTTTCCTCCTTACTGCACATCCCCAATTCTAGATTTTCTTTTTTTTTAAAATTGCTGTGCTGTCACTTATGAGTAACTTACCGATCTGAAGCACGTACCAGCCCTTCACTTCCTAATTGCTGTAGCCTGGAGATGCCTTAGCCTCTTAGTATTTCTTCAAATACAAACACACTGAATTCTGAACATTCATTTTTGGGTGATTACTAACAGCCCTTATTAAAAACCTTATTGCTGCACGATTGCTATGGTGACAGCAAAACAGGTCACAACAGTTTTAGGGCTGGCTTTGTGTCTCAACTCTTGAACGTCTCAGGAACTTTATTCTTGAATAAAAGCAGGTGTATTTTGGGTGAGTGCAATAGGACTTCAGACAAAAATGAATGGAAACTTTTTGGTGGTTGATATTGTAATGGCAATGGCTTGATCCTATAGTGAATTGTCTGCACATCTAGAAGAGAAATGGGCATTTCCTATTACATGTATTAATATGAATGTTTTATAAAGTCCCAGTTCATAGGCCAGGAGCTTTTGATACCAGGCAGCTTGTCACTGGATGTTGTTACATCTTAGGACACTGACTAAATAACTTCTTCCATAAGAGAGCAAAAGCAAAAGTTTAAGATGTACTTGTAAAAGATGGTATTGTTTACTCCGTGAATGTCCCTACAGAAAAGCAAACAAACAAACAAAAAAAAACCACAGGAAAAACAAAAAACAAAAAAACAACTTTGGCTATCTTTTTGTTTGTTTCATAATATGTTATCTTTTGCTGATTAGGAACTTAATAAGAGTAGTTCCCCTAGAGAAGAGAAGCTTGACAGTTCTATTTCCAGTAACCACATTTTGTTTACTTTTGTAACAAAAATTTAACTTCTTGTCTAAAAGCCACTCATTTCCAAAACAAAACAGGTTTTGTAAAGAGTCCTGGAACGGACTCAGAAACTGGAAGAATATAAACCCTTCATTAGCATGGCTGTTTTCAAAGAAAGGCTATCTCAAAATGTGAAATCCAAACTGGTAAGTTATAATACCTCTTGTATGGACTATAATTAAAAGAAATTAAATAGATCTTTTAATGTGAGTGCATTAGAAGTATTGTTATTAGGAATGGCCTAAAATTCACTGGTAAATGTTCCCATATATGAAGCACAACCATTGCATCTTGGAAAATTATCATATTATATTAAGATAGTTCTAATAGATTTTGGGGGAGGGGGAAAAAGCAAAAATTTCTCTCTCTTTTATGGAGAAATTCAGATGTCTTCACTCCTCTCTGCAAACAGTTCATTTTCTTCCCCTTTCAGCTCTGCTAGATGTTATCTTTAGCTCTCAATTTGTACTCATGGCAATGAACAGCTCAGCGTTCCTCTAAATTTAATCTGCATCTTGAGAGATTACACTTCGTGTAAAACTGTGAATTTAAATAGGGCAGTCTTCTGAAATATTAGTGAGAATTACAGACTTACCTGATTGATAAAAGCCTTGAAGCCAAGCTGGATCCAAGCACTATGCATGTAGAATAGTGTATGTGTATAAAATTGATCTCAGACTCGGTCTTCGATCGGGACTTTCGAAAGATTAACTGAGTTAAGAGCACTATTGTCACTGTGGCTGTTGCTTTTAACATACTGATGCTTTAAAAAGTTCTTCTGTCATTGCTACTGGCCATATGAAATACCTGTGTTTGAATAACAGCAAAAAATCCAAATCTAATCAATAGCCAAATATTTAGCATATATTAATTTCCTTTCCTTCTGGCCAAAGTAGAGGGAAGATAGGCTAATTGCTGTATTTTATACAGCTACCACAGAAGCTGACTTCTAGCATATAGCTGTAAATGTGCAAATAATTTACATGGCGTCCTAACTGGAATTTTGGTTTCTGAAAATGAAAAGGATACATAAATATTTTACAAGCTGATAAGTGCACACTGCTGTCCTTCAGGTGAATTCAGTTCTAGACAGATGTTTTCGGAAACTGAAATGCTCTGTTCTAATCACAGCTCTCCTCTAGTTCCCATTAACTTGACTTTTGTCTTTCTGGAGAGCTGCTTTTCTTTGGGTGAGATGGTATCTCAAATCTACCTTTTTTCACATGCTTATAATTAGAATAATACTGCTTATTATTTCTTACTTGGAAAGTGACACACGGGCATATATTACGCTAGAAACTAGATTTCAATAATTCACATATTTCACGCAGGGTGCTCTGGAGATGGTGAAAACCTCCCCAAGATACTGACCTGAGCTTGATGTGACCAGGTCACCATGCTGTGTAAGATTCTGTATCTCCTTAATAGACATGTCCATCAACCTCAAAACTGTGGTGAATGTGCAAAACTGCTGAAAATTTCCTAATTAGGGAAACACTTGTGTGGTGAACAAGTACAGAAATGTGGTTGTAATTTAAAGTTAGAATTTAAAGGAGCGGGCCAAGTAAACATGAGGCAACATGAGGTTATCTGGAAGGAGTTAGATTTCTGTGTAGCTCTCCAGTAGCACTTCTGTTACCTTTGACAGGGTATCTTTATTCCAAGGGAGGTGAGACAGAAGGAAAGGAGGAGACTGAGAAAATGAATGGGAAGGAAGGTGGAGAAAAGAAGGGAAGAGGGAAGAAGAAGTGGAAGTGGGGAAAGGGCAAGAATTGCATAGAAACAGAATTGCTAGAAAACAGATTTCCTCTAATATGTTTCTGTCTGTATATATAAGTAGAATAAAGGAAAGAAAAGGAAAAAAAAGAAAGAAACCCAAACAGGCAGAGAAGAAAGGGTCAAGTTTAATGATGGAAGAATAATACAGATACTAGCAGTGGAAAATAGAAGGGAGATCTCCAGAGGATTAAAATATTGCTACTCTATTTCCTGGAAAATGCAGCGTAATTCTTAGTTGAGTTTTCCAAACTCTTTTTCTTAAGATTTCCCATCACTGTTCTGAATTTTAAGAGGGAGGTGGATCACTTGGTCATTTTCTTTTAATGCAGTTAGTATTCCAATCCGGAAGTGGGAGTGCAATTTTGGAGGTCCAGAATTAAAACGAGTGATTTCTATTGACTTGATTCCAATCTGCCTTCCACATTTACAATGAAGTTATTCATTTCAAACTTTATTGCGGTTTCAGTTACCATAATGAGACTGAATGTAGGTGATTTTGTTCACACTGGGGAACACCTTCTTCATCTAAATAGATAATTCTAATAGAAGTGTATTCACCATTATAATATAAAAATCATTATTTGTGTCTGTACCTAGCTGGATGGTAGTTTAAGTAAATATACCAACAGATTCTGCCACCTTTATTCACATATCAATGTTTCAATCTTTAGTGTTGCATTTGGGATGAATTTGGATAACCTTAGCTATGTGAAACAACATTTTGTTTCAGACAGCTCTATGGATGTAAACAAATCTCCTTACAGAACAGCATGCTAAACTGTTAACTGTTAAATATACCTCAGCAAGACTGTGTATTTTTTGCACTATTGTGCAGTAGGTTTCAAGACTACGGACTCTTAAGAATTTTCTACTGTAGCAGTATTTCAATCCTTATATCCAATACAAGTAAAAGGTGAAAGTGTAAAACCGGAGTAAAAAGATTAAGAGTGGGAAAAAGCACTGTAAAGCCCAAACTGAAATTAAGAAAATGTGTGTGAGACTGATAGGAAGACAAGGTAATACTTACGATTTAATGTTAAATGCTGATTTTTGAGGCATACGCTACTTTGGTTGCAAGACTTTCAATTATACATATCCCTTCATTTCTCAGTCGCTACGATTTCACAAGAAACTATTGCATTATATTGCAGCTGCAAAACCCAAAAACCCATCTCATCTCTCTAAATCAATATTTTTGATTTCGTAGTTTTTGTTATTTACTGGATTCTAGGCAAAGTTTTGTCCAAATATATGTCTGCACTTAGGATGTCAAATTTCCCCAAAATGGGAAATGTTTAACAATTTTTCCCAGCTGTCATCCCGTCTACTTTAAATTAGTCTTCCACAGAATACTCTTGCATCTCTTATAGCACATTCTCTGTGAAATCACAGAGGCAATTCATGATTTTGGATCACAGCTGATCCACATAACTTGCAAACTAAGCCCCTGACCGATTGATCAGATTCCTATGGAAGGACCTTTGAGCCAAGACAGATTCTGACTGAAGTTGGTGGGACTCCACGCATACCCAAAGGTATATCCTGCTGTATTCTGCTAGTGATCAGTCAGAGTCTAATACTTCACCTATTTTAGACTATGTATGTTAGTAATACATGTTATTATTAATAGCATTTAATAAGGCACTTAAAAAAAAAGAGTCCTCAAATCCCTAGGTCATTTGGACATAATTGGGGTGGGGGATAGAAATAAAGCTCTTCTCTATTAGTTTGATAAACCAAGAGTACTGCTTACTGTTGTTTCTGTTGTAGTCAACTTAAAGCAAAAACCTAGTGTCCTGCTTACTTAACACAATGGTGTCTATTTATTGCAGGATTTTATGTGTATAAAGCATCTGATAATGTGCATAAATATGCTAGAATTTGTATCTATTTTGATTCCTTAAAAAAGTTCAAGTATTTTGGACCCAGATTTGAGGTGATACGTCTGAAGATATTACATAAGCTAAGGAATACTCTTGACACTCTTTGTGTGCCCAGCTACTACTGCAAACAATAATGCATTGCAAGCAAGATGGACACTAAGTTTTAGCTATAGTGTTTACTCTTCAATAACAGATGGCTTCCACACCTGTGCAATGACGCCAGCTTTCTTTGCTGAAAATTTTGGCCTCGGAGCAGTAAACAAAGAGGATGTAGTGGATTCTGGCTTAGAAAATGCAGAATAGCCTGTCGGCGTATATGATTCATTTACTGGGGTGGAGGCATTTGATTGGTACGACGGTTGCGAACTGTAGGCTGGCACAGAGTACACTGAAGATGCCCGGACGTTTGTAGGAGATGCAGAACCAGGCAGTCGTAAGGATGTAGCTTGCTTTGAAATGGGCAACTTTGGTATCTGCTTAATAGCTAGACTTTCCTTATTACTAGGAGGTTGAAAAGTAAATAACGATGCATCAAGTTGATAAGGTTGATGTTTCATAATATCCAAAGCATTGAGACCTTTCTTAGGTTTTCTTTTGGTGTTTTTAGTAGCAGCAGTGGACTTAGGGAAAGGCTTGGTGGCAGCAGGAGGATAAGATGGACTATGTATGGGATTATAAGCAACAGGTGGAGGTGCTCGGACATTAGATGAATATTTCCAAGAAGCTGGTAAAGATGGAGTTGGAGATGGGGCTCGTGCCATGTTTGCTTGCACAGTCTCTGAATCAACCACATACTTCTCCATTCGAGAGTGTCTTCTGGCAAATAATTGTGCTCCTTTTCCCCTCATCTCTGGCGGCATCTCAAAGGGTTTTGTTTCTCCAGCACTTGGGGTGGTTGGTGTCTTGGCTGGGTGGTTTGGACTCGCTAGGGTTGCCTGTGGCCCTTTGAAAGGACCTGATAGGTTGAGAGTATTCGGAGGATTGGCAGAGGGAGAATGAGGGTACTGTGGGGATTTGAGTGGTGCAGGGTATGCTGCCTGCGGTGAGGCTGGAGTTGGGAAAGAAGGAGCCTTGTTAGAAGCCCCAGCTGGTGACCAAACGGGTGAAACTGGGGTACCAGCAGCAGGAGAGACCTTGAGGGAAGGCTTTGGAGCAGTAGGAGGAGGGGCCTTTTGCTTAGATGCTTGACTCTGCATGAAATTGCAAGCTTCTGCTCCCAAACTGAGGTAGTCTTCTTCAGGTCCTGACTCAAAACCAGCTCCAGAACCTTTTTTGCCTTCTGCATTGTGTACAAGGGACAACAGGGCAGGATTTGGACTTACTTTGGGTGCTTCTTTGAAAGAGAACATAGGCTTTGATGTGCTCCTTCTCTTTGCTTCTTGCAGTATCCCAGTTCTTTTGGCTGGCACTGCAATCCTCTCATCTCTGGATGCTATGCGTTCGGTTGGCTCTGTGTGTGACCAGAGAATTGGCGCAGCTTTGCTTGCTGCAGGAGCTGATAGAGGTCTGTATAAAGCCTCTGGTGGTGGGCTGATAGAGCAGTAGGGAGGTGGTGCTGGTAAATCTGAAAGAGGACTAGTGACATTTCTCGTGGGTGAAAATGGTGCAGCTGCTCGGTTTTGAACCCCGAAAGGGAAGGGTTTAGCTGTTCTGTTCAAAGATGTTGCTTTTTGAGCCTCAGAAGACTGAAAAGAGAGGCTTGTGTCTGGTGCTAAGCCAAACCCATTTTGTTGTACAATTTTACCATCATTCTGGTTCACATCTGCATAGCTTTTGCTTATGCAGGGTTGCTGGCTTAACATTTCTTCCTCTTTTGTTTGATATGCTGAGGAGCTTACTTTCTGGAAGTTCTCTGACACCGTGACTTCCCTTTGTTCCTCTGCATGCACTGTGCGTGCCTTCATCTCCTCTTGCTCGGCTGTAATCTGATCCATCCTCTGCCGTCTCCTGGCAAACATGAGGGCTCCTTTACCTGTTGTCTCTGGAAGCGTCTGCATCTCGTCTCCACTTTTTGTCTTCTTTTCAACCTCAAGTAAACCACTGTCCCAATCAAATGTCACAATCTTCTTGTCGTTGTCAATGTCAGAGAAGAAATCTTCATCTATTTCTGACTCACTTGTTGCAAGTAAACTCACTTCAAAAGTATTTTCTTTGTCTCCCTCTTCAACTTCACCTTCTTCACCCTCGTCTTCGTCACGTTCCAGCTCCCCAGTCCCGTAGCTGACTAAAGTATATTTCCTCGCCCTTTGCCGACGCTTCTTGAACATCAACACCCCCTTGGAATTGGGGTTGGGAGCTGCCGTCAGCAGCAATGCAATACTTTTACATTTAGATTTGGCTTCTTTAACCTGCTTCTCTGACAGGCTCTCACTTCTCCGGAGTCCTGTGGAAAGAATTAACATGCACGTTTAATTGCATGCAGCCCACAGAAATAGATGGAGTTTATTAGCAAGTGGTTATGCATCTGTCTGTAGTGGAGTTTGCATACTGCCTCTCTCCCTCATATTAAAACATTTCTTTTCTTGTGCATGGAGGGATTGTTATGCGTAAGCTTTGCCCGCAATAACAACTGTGGTACAAATTCCATATCCAGCATTCCTTCCTTAGGGCCACACCCAGAGAAGCTCAAAGGCTACATCACTTTCTTTACTTCAACAGGAACGGTAGGTGTGTCTTCTAATTTCCACAATTTTCGTTCCCAGCAGTCATCTCAGCAGCAATAGGTAGGCAGTATTTTCTCATTTACTCAATTTCTGTGATCTGGTGTGTAGCAAGTGTTTGACCACAGTTGCTAGGCTTACAGCAGATTCCCAGCCAGCCAGGACCATGACTATCTAACATTTGAGAGTAAATGAAACTGTGTATTGTGTCTGACAGCGGTAGCAGCTTCTACCATTTAAGAGTTTATTGCATTATAGAAGCTGTGTAGTTGATAAAAATAGGTATATTTATATGTATTAGCTATTTAAAAGCAAATATATATCCCTGGAAATATATAAGGAAATTATTAATTTTCAGCTCCCTCAAAGACAGTGGGAGTGCAAACATAATCCCAAATTGTATAGGATATAACATCTTCAGAACATTTATTTTTACCATGCAGCAAGAATGAATACACATTTAAGAACTGAATGGAGAAGGCTCCTACCAAAATAATATATATTTCTTAAAGCATAAATTATTAGTTTTCATCAAGCTGTGGGGAACACACAGGAGTGTCTGCATCTATAAAGCTGATAGATGCACTGCACATCAGCATGACCACCTCACTAGTTTCTCTCTTTTAAAAAGCTAGATTTTAAAATAAAAAGCTAATTCTGCCTAGATCAATGGCTCCCTTCCAGTTATTTTCAAAAGGATGAGGTGTGCCTCTGATTTGTGAAAATAAAGCAGTTAATCATTATCTTCTGCTAGTACAAATAAAGCAAACTTGTTAAAGAAAGCACTGTGATGTATTTTCTATTAATGATTCTTTTCTCTATGTCAGAGGATGAAGCCTGATACTTCTCCTATTAAAGACACTTGGAGTTTTGCCATTATGCCAGATGACAGCATGACTAGACCAGTGCTTCTCACAACCATAAGAGCAAATGGTTCTAAACACCGTAAGAGCAAAAAGAGCACGGTGCCTTTACCAGCAATTTGTAGTATTTTATTTTGAGAGGTTCAAATCACCAAATCCTTGGCTCAGTCTTTTGACAAGTCAAATGCTTACAGTGTTTACCGGGGACAGTTTTGAAATTATGGCCTGTACCTTTAGAGTGATTCTGCAAACAGATATGGTCACCCTTCAGCATTTAAGTTCCACACTTTCAAATAAGCCGCTTTTGCACAAGCAGTAGGGAGTGTTTTTCTAGGAGGGGAGTTCAACAGGAACCCACAGTACTGTGGAAAGCAAAAACTGAAACTTTTTGTTTTGCTAGTGTATCTTTTCTTAACTCATCTGCAGTTACTTAATCAATAGATTTAGAAGCTTCCAGAAGAAATATTAATCAGATAGATATAGTCTAATTACTATTTATTTCTTTACCATAAATTTTACTCTTTTGTAGTTTAGACCGAAATGCTGCAATGTAACTTTTAATTTGACAAAAAAAAGTCATATGCACGGTATTTGCTGCATGCAGCCTATTCCTCTGTGCATAGCAACGTGATAGTTCTAATGTGTAAATCACATTTTAAAAATAATAATAAAAGCAAATATTTTGATAGATTGCATCAGTTTCTAAAAATAATGGCGTGCCAGTAGGTTAAAAAGAATTAAGACTGTCATAGTTGGGATGAGAAAAAGGCAAAGTATACATATTACTTGAAAGAAGTAATATGTAGTTTGCTCTACAAACTCGCCTTATTAGAAGGGCAATACTGTTCACTAAGATATACGGGCACGGTCCCACAGATGGTTCTAACTTTGCAGCCAAAATGTAAAGTATGTGCACTCTTCTTGTATGCTCCATTTAAAATGTTAAAATATGTGGTTTGGAAGCAGACACTTAAGCATAAGTAACTGCTTAATCCACTTGCAAATAAGATACAAATGGTTATCATGCTAAAAATATGCTTACAGTGGAATTAGCAAAGGGTTAGCAGACTAATTCCAACACTACATATGAAATAGTTTGTTGCTACAGTATATCATTGCATGCATTCAAGCAGCTTTGCCATACTGTTATTAAATCCCTGGTCAGGATTCTTAACATTGTTGGGAAAAAACAACCCACTAATAAAAAGGTATCAAATTAATAAAATAATAAATTAATTTTACGTATCTATACTCAATAAACTGACACTGGATTCAGTTTCAAAATAGCTTTCACGTAAACTTCTTGGACGGATTTTGTAGTTGACCTCTGGATATGGGAGTCAGAAGAAATAGTAAGTTCACTTTACAGTCTAGAGAAGACTGACAAAGCTGAAAGGATCATGTAACAGTTATACACATGCTAGTGTCTGTCAAAATCTCGTCTGCAGGCAACATCAAGCTTTACTAATAGCCTTTTTTATTATCAACTTTTAAGAGCCATACCACGGCTTTGATTTTAGGTGATGCAAATAATAGCACAAAATTTTTGCTGTAAACAGAAACCCACAGGATTCATTTAGATATGTGCAAGCGACCTGGTTTGTTGTTTTTTGTTTGTGGGTTTTTTTTCTTTGTTAATATTCCACAGATTGCCTCTTAGTGTGTATGAGAAAGCCAGCAGAATTCAGCATTTTCTGGAAATAAAAATATTTTTAATTGGACAAAGTCATTAAATTATTTCAGAGTGGAAGTCTACTAAACAAAGTTATTCAGCACAGTTAAGGCATGGCTTTACTCTTGGCTCATTACCAGGAGTGTTGCATTACCCTGGAAAATTATATAAAGCAAGAATTGTTTAGAAGACAGAAAGTTAAAAAACTGCAGACTGAAGCTCTAACTACGTTTTCTAATGCAATCTAAATTCTGAGATGATGTTTCGAGTTACAAAGCATATCCTCAGGCAGTGCAAATGATTAGATGGGATGTACTTACTTGCGTGCCTTGCCCTGTGCTTGAGAGGTCTGTGATCCCTTTCCGAGTGCTGGTTGTCTTCTCCCTGCTCTGTGCCTTCTGATGAGATTGCAAAGGAGGGGAGAGAAGGAGGTGCTTCTGACTGCCCTCCTTCCACTTGAGAATCAACACACCCCCTTTCAGCCAGAGACTTGGGTGCTTCTTTTTCTCTGTCTGAACAGTCTAGGATCACCTCCACCCTGGGGATAGATGGAGCTGCGCTTTGGATCATCTTGACCTCTTTGCTACTAGAAAACTGGACTACTTTGCTTGACCACTGGATGTTGCCCTCTTTTACACTCAGGGGAATTGCGATTACAGGGTTGGTCCCGTCTTCTTGTACACTGAGTCCTCTTCCTGAAGGGGTGCATTTTTCTGCCCCTAAGAGAGTCACAGCAGGAGCGTTGGTGCTCTTGTGACCATCATTTGAGAGGGATAACTGCAACTCAACCATATTGCCTGGCCTTCTTTCTTCTATCTTCCCTCTGAAAACAGATTCATCAGTCACATGCGCTTTGGAGGTGCCTATCACTTTAGGAGTAATTCTGTGACTTTGTGTGGTCTCTTGTTTCATTTCAGAAAAGTGTATGTTGCTTTCTCCTGCTCCCTGGTGAGTCTCACTGTATATCTCTGTGATGCACAAATCTCCATGGGGTATCTCTTTGGCTGTATTAATCTGCAGTGTAGTGCTCTCCCTATAGTCCTCATTTTTTACGTTATCATGCTTTCCATTTTCTCTTTCAGCACTCAAAGTTTCATTTATTCCACTGGAGGATCTGCACATACATAAATAAGTAATTCAAGATATTAAGCTGCTGTAAGTACAGTAATTGTAAACACAATTGCAAAGAAAAACAATTTTCTGTATAGTATTTTCCCCCCTGTGTTAATTGTACCTGCTGCAGGACCATTTAAGGAGAAGAATTTTCCCAGAATGCAGAAGTCTCAGAACATCTATGAATACTTCAAAATTCTTCAAGTTAGCAGTTCAGTAAAAGTGAAATGCTTTCTCAGACACATTTCTGTTATAATGATTCTACTGAGACTTCTTAGACATTGCTTCATATTTCACATGTGCATGAGAAAATTAACTTCGCATGACACCAGAATAGTGCCTAATTTTTGGCACTGTGGCTACTACCCCAGCTGTTTTAGGCACCATACTCACACATAGTTGCTGTAGCAAATAGTTTACTCTCTAAGGAATAAACTACTGGATGAGAATAAGAAGGAGAGACAGAAAGCCAGGGAGGGGGGGAGGGAATGGATACTTAAAATACACATTCAAAGAATTCCTGTGAGGATCATAATCCAAATATACGATGGAATAATTAAAACATTCTGGCCCTATTTTGGTGGTCCAACAAGAAAAATCTGTGAAGCCATGCAACATTTTCTAGTTAAAGGGAAAATGTATTCCTGACTGTCAAATGTTACCGTGTCTTTACTAAGTCTGCAACATACTTCAGAGTAACTCTCCTGAACTATTCATTCCCCTGGACTTGGCTGTTTTACTGAATTTAGGATTCCCAGCTTCCTCTTTCAATACTCTGGGCCGTAATGACAAATTGCAGTATGCTATTAAGGCTTTCTGTTGACTAGAAGGTAGCAAAGCACATTTTCAAATGAGAGGAGTGATAGGTATTCTCAGTAAAGTACTCAGATCAAGTATTACAGTGATTTCTGAAATCAAAAGCAAGTCCCAAGTATTTTGAAAGTTTGGAACCACTCTACAAAGAAAAGCTGGAAGAAGAGATAGAAGAAATAAATCTGTCAGTATATAGAAGAAACTTCAATAACACTTGCATTTTTGTCCATGTGGTGTACTGTTTGTAGAAGTCTTGATCTGCCTCAAATAGCACAAAATGTGTAACATCCATTACACCACATATGGAGCTACGTAATGGTCAGACAGATTTTGATTTAGGGAGCTCCTTGTGAGTGTTGCTGGATTCCATCATATTATGTTATTTGGATGATCAATTGCACTGCTTTTAACTACAGATAAATTACAGAAATCCATAAACATTTCCATGTAGGATATAAGACTGGGGGATGGGTCAGCTAAATGTTAGCCTTTATTGGTAGCTGAGTGATTGTGTGAGAGGAAAAGATTTCCACCTTAAAAGGCCCTTGCTACTTATGGATATGCTTCTACTCTATATAGACATAAATGTGTGTCCATGTGTCAAGAGGCAGAGTACTTGGTCTGATCTCTTAATTGTCATTTATGATTTTATTTGGACAAATTATTACTTTTATTTCATGTCTTTACAGTTCACTGTAGGAACAACACCCCTTGTATAATTCCAGGAAGGAAGCAAAATTCAGAGTCAGCACAGCAGGATTTGTCTCAGAGTCATGTTTTACTCCCTACATGGTGTATTTCATTTAGGTATGCATTGAGCACGCTCCCTGCTTCCCCTAGAAAATTTTCTTTCTAGACTCAGCTGAAGCTCAGGAGTTGCTAATGCTGATGTGAAAAGGGCAGGGGAGCATGGCTGGCACCACTCAGTAAGATGCTCCCCAACATGGTATCTGGAGGGTATTTGCCCTGCAAACCAAAGATTTTCTGTGCACTGCTGGTCAGTAACTGTAGCTTACAGATTAGAAAAACTTCTGGACATCAAAGCCCAAGTAGCATCTTAAAACCTGATTTAAAAGCTATTTTTTCTCCCAGTGAGTTCAGTAAGAACAGAGTCAGGTCAATGATGAAAGCTTTTGAAAATCTGATCTTTTGTGCACATAGTTCAGGAACAGTCAGAAGCTTTCCAAGAAGAAATCATGCAATCATAGAATTGCTCAGATTAGAAAAGACCTTAAAGATCATCGAGTCCAACTGCAACCTGACCATACTGCCCTAACTCTAACAACCCTCCACTAAATCATGTCCCTGAGCACCACATCCAAACGGTTTTAAAACACATCCAGGGATGGTGACTCAGCCACCTCCGTGGGGAGCCTATTCCAGTGCTTAACAACCCTTTCTGTAAAGAATTTTTTCCTGATACCCAACCTAACCTTACCCTGGTGCAATGTGAGGCCATTTCCCCTCGTCCTGTCATCTGTCACCAGTGAAAGGAGACCAACCCTGCTCTCGCTGTAAGCACCTTTCAGATATTGGAAGAAGGCAATAAGGTCTCCCCTCAGCCTCCTTTTCCCCAAACTGAACAACCCCAGTTCCCTCAGTTGCTCCTTATCGGGCATATTCTCCAAGCCCTTCACAAGCCTTGGTGCCCTTCTTTGGACCTGCTCTAGCACCTCAATTTCCTTTCTGTGGTGAGGTGCCCAAAACTGAACACAGTACTTGAGGTGAGGCCTCACCAGTGCCAAGTACAGGGGCAGGATGACTTCCCTAGTCCTGCTCACCACACCATTCCTGATACAAGCCAGGATGCCATTGGCCTTCTTGGCCACCTGGGCACACTGCTGGCTCAAATTCAGCCAACTGTCCACCAAGGTCCCTTTCCATCATGCAGCTTTCCAGCCGCTCCTTCCCAAGCCTGTATGGTTGCCTGGGGTTGTTGTGACCAAAATTCAGGACCCGACGTTGGCCCTATTGAAACTCATACCTTGGCCTATTGATCCAGTCTATCCAGGTCCCACTGTAGTGCCTTTTTCTGGCAGATCAGCACTCCCTCCCAACTTGATGTCATCTGCAAACTTACTGACGGTGCATTCGATCCCCTCGTGAAGATCATTGATAAAGAAGCTGAATAGGAATGGCCCCAGAACCGAGCCCTGGGAGACACCGCTCATGACTAGCTGGCAACTGGATTTAACAAAGAGTTTCTTTGGGCCTGGCCATCCAGCCGGTGTTTCACCCAGCAGAGGGTATGCCCATCCAAACCGTGGGCAGCCAGCTTCTCCGCAGGGACGTAGTGGGGTACAGTGTTAAAGACTTCACTGAAGTCCAGATAGCCACATTGACAGCCTTACCTTTATCCACTAAGCTGGTCAGTGTGTCATAGAACAAAATCAGGTTTGTCAAACAGGATCTATCATTCATAAACCCATGCTGACTGAGCCTGATTCCCTGATTGACCTTCAGTTGGTCTATGATGGCTCCCAGCATTATTCATTCCATAACTTTCCCTGGCACCGAGGTGAGACTGATAGGTCTGTAGCTACCAGGATCATCTTTCCGGCCCTATTTGAACATGGGTATCACATTTGCCAGTCTCCAACCTGCGGGGACATCCCCGATTAGCCAGGACTGTTGAAGGATGGTGGAGAGTGGCTTGGCAGCCACATCCCCAACTCCCTCAGCACTCTAGGGTGCAGTCCATCTGGTCCCATGGACTTGTGAGCAGGTCCAAAATCATCTAATCGCAAATCATTCAGGGCCTATTCTGTTCCTTATCCCTAATTCTCAGTATAAAGGGCTGTGTGCCCAGGGAGTAACTAGTCTTACTATTAAAGACTGAGGCAGACGGCATTAAGTACCTCAGCCTTATCCTGATCTTTGGTCACCATGTTGCCTTTGGCATCTAACAAGGGATGGCTTTTCTACCAGCAAGAGAAGCTCAGATGCAGAGATCACTGTTGGAAAGCCACTTTAATTAGGCATTAGTCCTTTCTTATGATTCCTGGTCTTTTCTTGAGATGGCTAACAAGTGGCTCCTTGTGAAAAAAATGACTTGATTCTCATTGCTTTGAGTGTGCTAAGGCACTTACTGTAAAATCCTTCTGGTGGTAGTACTAAGAGGGATATTACCTACAAAAGGGGTTGCAAAGGAGGAGAAGGGTTTCAGTTTAATATTCCCCACCAGAAAAGATACTGACACAAAGTGCTGGGAATTGGGAGATGAGCTGACGAGAAGTAATTCTCAGATTCTTATAGTGAATTCCATTAAAAATTTCAGAACACTGTTGAGCAACCGCAATTTTCTTAAAATTTCTAAAAGGCAGAGAGTTTCATTCCATGAAACAGTGGTCCTTAACACTTTGGCTCAGCTCTGATTTTCAGGAAATGTCTTATTGTTTACCATACATTCAAGAAGAAGCAATTGAGTGAGTAGATATTCTGCCACTTTGAGCTGGAGCGTAATGGGACCTTCAGACCAATTGAAATGTCACTTAAGGAGCAGCAACAGCCAGGAGTCAAAGCATATGGAGGTATTTGTATGGCTGCAGAGAAGGCAGCTGGTTAACCACAAATATCATTTTTACAAGTGCATTTATTGTTGTCATCTGATGAATTAAAAACAGGAATGTAGTTACCACACAAGGAACACTCAAATGATATGCTACTGAACCAGAAATGAGCTACATAACATGTAGAAAATAAGCTATAATGCTCAGCTGTCATTGTTCCCCTGATCTCATCACATTGATACAATGCTTAGCCCTAAACAAGATGCACAGGCAGGCCATGCAAAATGTCTGTTATGAATAAAATGAATATTCTTTCAGAGCATTTTGTTTTGAAGGCAGATAGTGACTTCGAACCACTACGCACTTTGGAATTTTCCCTTGCGCAGGTTGCAGAAAACATGGAGAAATGTCACTTGCTTTTTTAGACTTCCTTGGTAATAATAGGGAAGTTTTTTTGTAGCAGTCTTTTCAGCCTTTCCAATGATGCTGTTAGCTGTTGTGAGGAATCCTGACCCTGTCTGTCCTCCTGCTCCTGCCTTTGTGAGAGCAGATACGGAGGACTACAGTAATTCTGGAGGCAGCTACAGGTCCCTACATGGAAGGAAAAAGTGTCAGGTCTTTTCTTGCTCTTCTTAACCGTGCTGAAGGCAATTCAGACTTCATCTTGTCTGAATGCACAATTTGGTGAGTACGTGTTCACTATCAGTGGTTCTGAACACAAGATAGTATATATTAAGTTGATGATCATTATAGGACTGAACTTGTAGATGCACTGATGAGCAGTCTTCTGGCTTCCTTGTAAATCTGCATGGAAGTTCTCTATTGTAAGATGCTCTAAGCATTTCTGAAGAAAAATAAACTTCACTGTCACTTTTGTAAGTGGAGAATCTGAGACCCAGAAAGACGTAAGTGACTTTCCCTGCCTCATTTAGTGGAGTGATATTATCCACAAAAATGTAATTCATGATTTCCAGGCCCTCTCTCTGTCCTGGCTGCTACACATTATGCTACCCAAGAAGACCATTTGCCATGTCACCATCAATGCATATCTGTCTAACACACTTTCTCCATCTATACAGCTTTTGTTTATTATATTCCTCACTTCCCTATCTGTGGGGAATAACAACACTTCACTACTTCAAAGGAGTGGAAAGAATAATTGAACTCAAGACTCTGCAGTGTGCAAATATGGTAGTGGACTCCCTTTAAGTACCAAATATTGTTAATAAGAAATACAATAAGAAATATATGTTTGGAAACTCTACCCTTCTGTGTATAAACTGTGCCATTTGAATTCTGTACATTAATTCCTTCAAATATACTGTCCTCCCTCTCTTTTCAGTGCAGACAAACAGAATTAAAGACACAAACAGTAGGACTATCAGAAGCTCACATTGTATATCTGCAAAATAATTGCATTCAATACCAACATTTTCTATGTGGCATGCTGAACAGAATTGCACCAAAGTGTTCTGAGCATTCCTGTACCTCTTGATAAGCATCTGCAGGACATCAGTCAAGCTTTCCATCAGAACGATAACTTCAGCGTAGGTTAAGTCTCCACAAGGTTTGCCATTGATAGACACCACCTCATCCCCCTCACACAGGCCAGCCTTAGCTGCTTTGCTTTTGTTGCGAACCTATGAGTCAAAAACAAAATTCCATATTGCACATTTACTGTTCATTTGAAAACAGCAGGAAATATGTCCCCAACTTAACTTTGTACAAAAAAAACCAAACCAAAACAAAAAAAAAACACAGAAGTTAGGGACAGCAGTCAGTTAGCATCTATCAGAAAGGCAAAAGTCTCATTAGCTTCTCCCAGAATGGAAGACTGCTAAGCCAAGATTTCAAAAGAAGAGTATATAACTTCAGGCTGCTCTGGGCAGAATTTCAATATCTGCTTGCTGTTAAAGCTACAGGTTTACAAATTCCTGGTATATTGGACACTTTTCCTTAGATGCTCAACTAAAGGTTTAGTTGCCAAATTATATGGCTGAAGAATGGCTGAAGATCCTAAATCCGTGTTCAGTCATCTGAATAAGTTCCCTGATTTATTAAAGATTAAGATTCCTGTTATGGTTTAACCTCTCCCATTAAGTACTTATTCAAGAATCTACACGGTTTGTTTTTTCCTGTTTCACTCTTTTTTTCCACTGGCAGCATGTTATAGCTTATCATAGTTTTTATATAACAAAACCTAGACAGCTTCAACACCACTCACATTATACCCCACAGTTGACTACTAGTTTTAAAGTACATATTTGGCAAACAGTACATTATATTAACCAGAATGCTTGCAGGAGTACTTTACTATGACTTATACTCTTATAAGGGCATTCGATGGTTTAAGATGTTATCCAGTCTGTTATGAGGGTGAATAAAATCATCAGAGCATTTGCTTGGAATTTTTTTTAGAAGTAGCATAGCTCTACCACACTTAAGGCAGCAGAGTCAATCTCCGTTGACTCTAGAAGAGCACATTCTCATATATACTGGACTTGAGGGTGACGTATTCCCATGGACTTATAGAATTATCCCTGGTATCCTAACAGGCCACTAGACTAGTGCCTAGGAAGCATTTCTGAAGGCTGTTCTGAAGTTTCTTGGAGTCCGAACAATGTGTGGAATAAGTGAGATTGCACTTTTTTTTTTTTTTTTTTTTCCCCTGTGGTGGGGCCATAGATCTTTGTTGTTTCAATTTAAGCATATCTGTATGTCATATTCTGGCTTTTTGAGCAGTGAAAAAACAGATGGCTTATGCATACAGAAGCTGGTTACTACCTTGCAGAGGAATTAACATTTACAAATATGGAGTGGTATGCTGCTATGTTTATCTTCCCCTAGGCAAGAGCATAAACATCCTTGTACTTTGGGAAGAAATGACAGTTTAGATAGTGTTTAGTATTTTACTTTATATATGAGCTAGGATTTTGGTTGATTTTTTGTTGCTGTTTTTTGAAATAGGAAGGTATACTATTAAAATTGTACAAGGCCTGTATGTAAATATTTAATGTGTACACTAAGAAGAATTTAGAATGGCTTTTTTTCAAAAGACACAGCAACATGTGAATACAGAAATAATGTAAGATGATACCAACAATGTGAGAAGAAAACTTGTTTCTGTTTCTTTATTAAGTGCCTGAGAATTTGGGATTCGTCTGCCACAGATTATCTTTGCAACTGTCTCAGAAGAGAAATTGTTACCCATTATTCCATACTTTCAGTGATGTATGTCAAAAAGAGAAAGTTCAAATGTACAATGTTAATATATCTCTGTCAATTATTGGACATCACAGACGGTTTCATTATTTCTAATAGTCTCCTAGGTAGCATTCAAAGAAAATAGAGACAGTGAAGGTTTTTTTACTGTTCTTGAAAGGGCCCCTTAGTCCATTTTGCTCCCTGTTGAGTTCTTCAAAGATCACAAGCTGTGAGATACTTGGGCCTATATAGGAGAACTCAGCACTGGCTATGCTGGAAAAAAATTGCTGTAAGTCATTATTCTGCATTATCTGATAGCATTGCAGTTCATACGCATATTAGAGCAAATTTTCTCTCATTATTTTATTTCCAGGTTTATCCGCATACATCAAACCTTTAACATGATTTTTTGTTCAAAGAGATTCTTCCTGTGTTGCACTGCAGCCAAGGCCTTTCCAGTTACTTGTTGCTTCTTTCTGCTTTGGGCTGGACTTTTCTTTGGGAGGGAAAGGTGGGGCTTTTTTACCCTAAAATTTGTGAATGGGATCTACTGGAAAAATTTTCTTCATTTTTCAGTGCTTGCAATGCTGAGCCTGTAACACTTGTGCTGAACCTGTCTAGAGAACAGTTGCTCCTGGGGAATGTTGAAGCACTTCAGACTTGTTTTTTTACTTTTCTGCTCCTGTCTCGGCCAGGACTTTTTATTATTGAAGTTTATACTGTATATTATATATAGTATACTACTACAGAGGGCTGCTCTGAGAGTTATGCGTCCTGTTTTATTATGTTGGCCCATGATGTCAGAGGGAGGAGGTGGTGGTATGACAGTAGATGTCGAACCTTCTCACCAATATTCTGTTACATGTCGTTGCAGTGTGACAGATGACAGCAAAGTAGCAATCTGAGAAAATGGCATCCAATATGGAAGTGTGTATGGAGCAAAGGTCTATCACTGAATTTCTCCATGAGGAAAAAATTGCATCTACTGACATTCACTGATACTTGCTGAGTGTTGATGGAGACCAAATAGTGGCTGTGAGCACAATAAGGTGGTGTGCTTCAGCAGTGGTGACATCGGCTGTGGGTCACCTCCACTAGTGCAGATTGTTACAAGTGCAGCACGCAGGCTCTTGTTCATACCTGGTGAAAATGCATAGCTAACGTTGGGCCTCTCTTGAGAAACAGTGTTCTGTAGCTGATGGTTTGCGCTATCAAATAAAGTTATTGTGCTCTTTGTATCTGTAGTAATTTCCATGGAAATAAATAAGAAGCATTACTTTTGGAGCAACCTATGTGAACTATAGTATTACATATAATACAGTATTAGCATATGATTTGTATAGTAATATAGTAATATTGTTCAATATATTATTATTTATTACTCAAGTTGTATATAGTGCAGTGTTTAAATTGCTTTATTTTTCTTTTAAATCACAGCTTTTCCAGTGAAGTGGCAATGAGGTCTGTTGGAGGGTTTCTCATTCCCTTCACCTGGCACCTCATCACCCCGTGGGGGTGGGGCTTGGGCTGTTACCAGCATGTTCAGGATCGTCTGTCCTGGAGCTGGAAACTGTGAGTAAGATTTTGGGAAGATCCTGATTGTCAGAAACTTGACTTAATACAAGATTATTAGTCTGAAAGGCTGATAGCAGAAAATACATTTATCTCTTTTTCCTTTGCTTGTTGGGAAAAAAAATAAGTGGCACAGCAGCACCAGGAAGTTTGGGATTTTATTCTAAACAAAGGGGCCTGATATTTTTAGCAGGCCAGAGTTCAAGCCACACTGTGGCTGTTTTTGCTGTAGTATGTTGTAAAGGGGAAGGTTTTGTAGAGAAAGCTAATGCAGGGTGCCTTATAGCATTTTTACTTTAGACAAACTCTAGTCTTGTTATATGACCTGCAGACCCCTTGCCTAACTATCGTGTATTAGATGTGCTCCTTTCATTTTATCTGAAACCAGTTCAGTTTATACAACTCAAAAGCGTTCCACATTGCAAATCAACATGTGGTAAAGAAGGATAGCAGGGAAACATGCTGCAAAAAATGTAGCCCTGATGAAGCTAAATTAGATTCACCTGTTATTTACTGTGGGCTGCAGGTGAATGCATAGAAAGCAATTTGGGCTCAAATTACCAGCTGACAGTCTTGGTTGTGTATCTGAGTGTATAGTGTGCAGATGAAAGAGTTGAGGTATGCTGAATCTGTTAATAACGTCATTGGATTGTAGCGCATCATAAGGTAATTACATGTGAGGACACTCAGTAGTTCTTTCAGTTGCCTAAATACAAAATGTAGTAGAAGATTTCATAATCTTGTTTTTACCAGTGACTTCTTGGTAGTATATCTAATTCTTATTCTGGTGTGCTGTTGGGATTACAGTCCTGTATCTTAGAGAATCTAAATTAGGTGCTTCAGCTGTAGCCTGACTGAACCATTTTCTGAATGAGAAAATAAGCAATCTGGGCATGAACGTAATTCTTTTACTCTCTACCTTTATTTTTATTAAGTATGCTTTTTGTGGCTTTAAAACACACATATGTTTGTATAGAGATATCCTCAATTTAAAGCAAGCTTTCTGGAACTTAAATTATTTTCACGGCATTCTACTGATCATTTTCCAGTTTGTCTGCAGGAAACAGATAACAAAACAGAAAATATTGCCCTTGGATGTAGTGGAAATGCACTTCTCCCCTATTGACTATCTTTTTCTCATACACATGGCATTGTTTTTTTTATTTTTTTATTTTTTTATTTTTTTATTTTTTTATTTTTTTATTTTTTTATTTTTTTATTTTTTTATTTTTTTATTTTTTTATTTTTTTATTTTTTTATTTTTATTTTTTATACTTTCCAGAGGTTATATTCCTCATTAACTGATCAGCTTCATATTAGTCATAAAGTTCAGGATCAGGAATCAAAGGTATAGCACTTAAGAAACAGAATGAAAAAGCACTTCATCTATTTTATTGTAATTTCCACAGCAAAGACAGAGGCTTGAAATCATATTTAAATATATTTAAAAGTTGTCTATCAGTCTAATAGAATTAACAATGTACAATATTTTCTTAGGAAGCAGAAGCACTGAGTGGCACAATTACTAGTGTGTTAGTGGTTCTAGTAGTATGAAATTAAGAAATTCAATATTAAGCTACAAATGCACTTCTAGTACTGATGATCAAAAATTTGGGCCTAGGACTTTGTTTTACTTTGTTTATACAACATGGAAGTCTTTTAGACAAAAAAAGTAAGCTTTAGTTAGCAAGATTTTTTGAGACAGAAACATCTATACGGTAACATAAGCCTACCTGATAATGGGTTTGGGATTTTATTCTAAACAAAGGGGCCTGATATTTTTAGCAGGCCATAGTTCAAGCTTACAGGTCAGATCTTAAGCATGTATACCATTGAGATAGCATGGTGTCACACTAATGGTGCA